CATGTTGAATTGCAGTGTCCACCAACAGGACCACCTCGCACAAGGATACTACCGCAACACATCAAGCAAGCAGGCAGGTTCGAGAGATATTTGGAGGTGGGGTCAGGATGGATGCTCCTTTTGCCCGCAGCCGCAAAGGCATGTCCGGCTGCGCCGAGGAGAAACCAACCTCACTCCTGAATGCCCACCGGAGGACAAACGGCATCGTGTACGCCCATTCCGGCTTCGTATGCACTGCTTACAATACCTAGGTACTCTACATGACTTTGCTGCTCCGTTCTCGAGCACGTGCTCGAACGGAATGTGCCGCTGCCGAATATTGTTGTGGCTCCGGCCCTGTTTACGTGGCACACATCATTACCTGCGGTAGGGGGGCCCCCGATGGCCTTGCTCTTGTGGTTTTTTAAGGTTTTGCTAATTATATATATCAAGTTGGTAAAAATGAAAAAATAAACAGAAAGAGGGCCAGGTAATCATGCGAGACATCTAGTAACACTATATTTCGGCCGTACCTGCCAGGCCAGGGAACCGTAACTAACCGCGCAATACACCACGAGTACACGCATCGCGATGCGTCAGACACACTAGCCGACTAGCACACACACACAAAAAAAAAAACCACCATAAGCTAATTACCTGCGGTAGGGGGGCCCCCGATGGCCTTGCTCTTGTGGTTTTTTAAGGTTTTGCTAATTATATATATCAAGTTGGTAAAAATGAAAAAATAAACAGAAAGAGGGCCAGGTAATCATGCGAGACATCTAGTAACACTATATTTCGGCCGTACCTGCCAGGCCAGGGAACCGTAACTAACCGCGCAATACACCACGAGTACACGCATCGCGATGCGTCAGACACACTAGCCGACTAGCACACACACACAAAAAAAAAACCACCATAAGCTAGTTTATCCTCATTGTGGAGGGGCAGAGTTAAATTATATATATAGATGTATATTTGTTTTTGCAAAAGCCCCAATCCGCAACTCGTCATTTTTCGCCTACCGCTTCATTGTCCTCTGCTTCTCCGCGTCCGTGGCCACGTTCCTGCCCTCCACCAACAGGCCCTTCTTCCTCCTCACTCTGTCCATGTACCTCTTGGCGACGTTCTCCCTGTCGGCCAGCTCGCCCAGGTCCTCGAGGTCGTCCTCGGTGAAGGGCACCCAGAAGGGGTCCTGGTCGAGGACCTCGAAGCCCGCAAAGACGAGCTGCGGCTGCGCGGCGCCGCTGGTCCTCTTGCGCATCTCGTCCGCGAACCCGAAGCTCTCGGCCACGGGGAGCACCGCCTGGATGGTGAAGAAGGGCGTCCCCTCCTTCATCGTCTCCGCCGCCACCCGCCCGCGCCGCCGCGTGAGCACGTCGTACACCCGCCCGAGAACCTCGGTCGACGCCTGTATCTCCACGCTGTACATGGCGAGCATGAGCCGCGGCGACCAGTCGAGGAAGCCCGCCCGCAGCGACGCCCGGAACGTCTTGATGATCTCGCTCGTCAGCCGGCTGAGCCTGTCGCGCGCCGAGCCGTCGTCCTCGCCGGCGGCGGCGTCGAGCGACACGTCCTCGATGAAGACGGCTACTCCTTGCATCGGCTCGTTGCAGAGCGGGCCGTGCGCCGTCGCCAGCTGGAACGCGTATGTGATCTTGTCTGATAGGTGACTGGGCCCGAGGGCTTCGCCGACGCGAGGGGCCGGTGTTGTTTCCCTGGCTCCGGTTCCGAATGCCTTGGGGAGGATGCTGTCCTTGGTCGCGTCGATGAGCAGGTTGGGGCCTGTCCTCCTGGGCCCAAAGGCGGCGATGCTGTCTACTCGGTTCCTCCACACGTCTCGCCCTTTGCCTGTCTCTAGCTGCTTCCGGAGTTGCGTCCTGAGCTCGTCTACGGACAGCGAGTTGACGGCGGTTACGGCCGTGTCGGCAACAACCTTGTCCTCCTGGCCGTCGGGCTGCTCCTGCTGCTCCTCGCTGCTCTCGCCTGGTTTGCTTTCCGAGTACAGGCGCTTGATGGCGTCGGCGTTCTTGAGCAAGAAATCCGTCACGTCTGGGGGAAGGGGCCGCACCCGTAGTGATATCGTGACTTGTTTTGACGTCGTAGTCCCCACCACGGCACCTCTGCCGAGGTCCTTGTTTACGGGAGGCCGCATCTCGTCCGCTCGTACAATCGTCTCCCGATACGGGACAATGGGCTCTCCGGCCTGAATATCACATCGTGCAAACCTCTCCTTGAGATCGGTGAGACACCGCTCCAGGTGGAGTTCGCCGGCGGTCAGTAGTACGTGCTCGCCGCTCCCAAACTGCTCGTACTCTGCACACGGGTCGCTTTGCACGAGGAGCCCGAGACCGTGTATCATCTTGTCCAGATCCGCCGGGTTCACCGGCTCCAGGGCCACTCGCACAATGGGCTTTCCAGCCATGCTGACGCCAGCCAGGTTGACTGCGCCCTCGAGCTTGCTGCAAAGAGTCCCCGACTTGAGGATTTTGCCCTCCAAGCCACCGATGCCGAAGACGACGCCCGCGGGTACTGATTCCAGTGCCTCCAGGTTCCTTCCCATGAGCATATATAGCGCTGTGACGGTAATTTCTTGCGGCTGCGGCTCTGCTTTTGGATCCGCTGGTGACCACTTTGGGGGAATAACATATAACTTGTCGCCAACTGACAACGTCCCAGAGTAGATTCGTGCGAATCCAATCAAGTGTTCGGGGTCTGCCTTCTGTCCTTCCGGTTCAGAGTCGTTGATATGCGCGTCGTCAAGGGCCTGTGTGAGGTCACCCGATGCGTCTCCGTCTGCCTCTTGCGCTGCCCTGGCAGCCTCGGCTCGCTTTTTGCGTGCCATCTCTCTGGCCTCCTCGCCGCTCATCTGTCCCGGCTTTCGCTTGTTTTCAGGCAGCTCACTTTCTGGGACGGAGACCATTTTGCTGACAAAGGCAACCACGGGGTCCGACTTTTCGTGTCTAAACGACACCATGGCCTCCTTGATGGACCTGTCGACAACCTCTGAGCCCGGCGACTGCTCGATGAGATCTGGGACTCGCTCTGCCTGGGCAGCTGGTGGTGACGGCAAAGACTCGACGACAGAGACGAGCAGTGCCGTGGATAGAGGTAGCCACGAGGCAAAAACCGTTGTTAGTAGTAACCTCGGATCCCGTGCTCGGACGACGTGCGGTGAAATAGTCAGGCCCAGAGATTTGGTGACTTTTTCCAGTAGAGCCGGGTCCCCCTTGCCATTGTCACCGCCGCATGTTGCTTGGTATACTGTCCATACGGGCTCCAGAACCAGCTGAACAAACATGGGCTTGAGATTTCGGCCCTTCAAGTGTTTCTGGCCCAGGATTTTTTTCGTCTTTGGATCGAGGTAAAAGCTGCCCCATAAGACTTTTTCCATCAATCCACGCTTGATGCCGAGTTTCTTCTCGTATAAACTGGCAAATTGCCGACAAGTAAATGCCCAGCCGTCAGTGGCACTGCTAAAGATGACATTGTTCTTTTCCGGAGCAAAGTAGATATCTTCGTCGTCACGCTCCTCGAATTGCAGCTCGCCAGAATCTGAAGAAAAGTCCTCGTCTGCGGATGCTTTGGCCGCGACTGCTGCATTCACCCGCTCCTCCATCTTTTCTCTCCAGTTGAGATCTTCTTCCATGCGCTCCCCTTGGAAAAAGCTTCCCAGGACGGCGTTGACTTGCTCCAGAAGCTTGCCAATATGCACGTAGGCTTCGGCAGGGGTCATCTTCAACTCGGTAACCAGCCGGTCCATCTTGTTGATAACCAGCAAAGGCTTCAGTTTTTCTGTCCAGGTTTGTCGCAGGACTGTAACCGTTTGGCTGCAGACCCCTTCAACTGCATCTACCAAGACCACGGCACCATCGCAAAGCCGGGACGCGGTGGACACTTCGCTGCTAAAGTCAATATGACCAGGCGAATCGATTAGGTTAATAAGATACTCTTTGGCCTCGGGCGCGGCTTCGGGCGCAGATCTCCTCAGCATGGAAAAGTATAATGAGATGGCCGATGATTCCATAGTGATGCCTCGAAGCTGTTCGTCTGGCCGTGAGTCGAGGTATCGAATCTTGCCGGCAAGTTTTGGCGAGATGATACCATTTGTGGCGAGCAGGGCATCTGTGAGTGAGGTTTTGCCATGGTCAACATGAGCCAAGATGCAGATCTACATGCATTCCTGTTAGTGCAGACTCATGGGATGTTTTGAGTGTCCCGTACATTTCTAATGTCCTTTGATTGCCTTTGCAGGCTTGCCAGCTTTTCTGGTGTCACGACGGGCATGATGGGATGTTCTGTCAATCCGACTGTATGAGCCGGGCTGTCTCCAAGGATGATTCTACTTGTCCCTGCCTCCGGGCTCTCGATTTTGTGAGCCAAAGACTCGATTACGATCTGAGATGGTAGTTTGGGGCTACTTGAGCTTTTTGAAGCTCTTGGAAGTTGGTCTGCAAAGAGCTGTTTAGTGATTTTCACTCGTTTGATTGGGTCGTTCGTGTGACTCTTTCGATACAAGTTGCTCCACCACCAGACACACCACTGGCTGGTTGTTGGAGAATGGCAAGCGATGCCCGGATCAGAAAATATGATGCTATATGATTTGGTATGAGTCAGTGGAGTCGTTCTTTTTCTGCCACAGATATGGCCGAGAAAATTAAGTCATTGGCTACAGTCCTATGATGTGGTCTACCTCTCACTACATGGGCTTATTTCATGACTTCACCCTCACCCTGTCTACCCCTCGCCACTGAGATAGTTGACCTCTTTTAAGGTGCCCCGCTTCACAACCAAGTATGCCCCACCATTAATTTTCTCGGTATGTGCAAACGATATGCATGTAGCCCCCATAAGCTGCTACTTAGACGCATATCGGCACCACAAGCCCTAACAACGACGAAAATTCCGGATGAGCGTCCAGGCCCCTCAGCCAAGCGCAAAATTTCGGTGCTGTGCCCCCCCCCTTCCCCCCAAAACCCGCCTTCGACTCTCGACGAGACGACGACGAGCGACCGAACAAGATGGCGACGTACCAGAACGGCGTGGCTCCGGCCCGCGCGCTCGATGATGACAGCGACGTCGAGGAGGAAGCCCTGGTGGCCGAGTACAAGGAGCATGTCCAGTATGAGGACGGTGATGAGCTCAGCCAAACCACTTCCCTGACCATGGCGCAACAAGCCGACGACATCCAGGCTCGACTTGTCCAGGCTGCTCAACCTCTCGATTTCTCGGCGCCCCTGGACGTCAAGTTCCAGAGTTACGACTCTTACTGCAGCTTGTTCCACTTCATCTTGAACTCCGAGGGCCCTGTCGACCTCGAGCCTCCTTCAGTTAGTTGATCCGCGGAACCAGGACAGGGCAATTGCTACTTTCCGGGGAAGTGAACTTGGGCTAACAAAATATTCTTCTGCAGTACTACTGGGCTTGGGATGTCATCGATGAATTCATCTACCAGTTCAACTCCTTCTCCTCATATAGGTCGCGAATCGCTCGCCAAGCCTCTAACGAGGAGGAAATCCAGATTCTCCGAGAGAACCCCAACACCTGGGGCTCATACAGTGTTCTCAATGTGCTGTACTCCCTGATCCAGCGATCTCAAATCACTGAGCAGCTCGCTGCCATGAAGCGAAACGAGGACCCCGCTGCTGTTGCTGGCGACTATGGTTCCAAGAACCTGTACAAGATGCTGGGATACTTTTCCATTATTGGTCTGCTACGCGTGCACTGCTTGCTCGGAGACTTCGCCCTCGCCCTCAAGACGCTCGACGACATTGAGCTGAACAAGAAGGCCATGTTTGCTCGCGTCATGGCCGCCCACTTCACCACGTACTACTACGTTGGTTTCTCCTATATGATGATGCACCGCTACGCTGATGCCATCCGCATGTTCAGCCACATCCTCATCTACGTCTCGAGGACCAAGAACTTCCAGAAGAACGCCCAGTACGACTCCATCACCAAGAAGAATGAGCAGATGTACGCTCTCATCGCCATTTGCGTGGCCTTCCAGCCTACGCGGCTGGATGACACCATCCACAGCGCCCTCCGAGAGAAGTACGGCGACCAGCTGCTCAGGCTGCAGCGTGGTGGCCCCGAGTCGCTGCCCATCTTTGAGGAGCTCTTCCGAGCTGCCTGCCCCAAGTTCATCTCGCCCGTTCCTCCCGACTTTGACAACCCGGAGTCGAACATTGACCCGGTCGAGCACCACCTGGCCGTGTTTATGGACGAGGTCAAGACCAATATGTGGAGCCCTACCATCAAGTCCTACCTGAGACTGTACACCACCATGGACCTGAACAAGCTCGCTGGCTTCCTTGAGGTCAAGCCCGACGAGCTGAGATCATGGCTCCTGGTGACTAAGCAGCGCACCAAGCAGCTGCGATGGAACGACCAAGGTCTTCTTGATGGTGAGCTAGTCAACGTTAGCGACCTTGACTACGCTTTACAGGGAGTGAGTACAGCCCTCACGTTAATTTTTTACTCTTTTCCTTTGCTCTTTCCCAACCCCGTTGGAACATGGTTCATGCTAATTGCTCATCTGTAGGACCTGATTCATATTTCCGAGGCCAAGGTCGGACGCAAGCTGGTAGACTGGTACCTCCGCAACCTGTCTCGCACCTACAACTAAGCTTTCATACATTGAACAAGGGACAAGATAAAGAAAACCTGGCCGGTAAAAAAATATTCATGAAGAATCGCCTATGCCTTGCTCAAATGTCTTAACGCAGACATGACGCACATGCGTAGGTCTGCCGCAAGACGGGGTAGAGCAGGCAACGGCCGGGCATGTATGCAGACCCATCTAGTCGGCTGCATGGCATTTGGCGTCACGGAGTTGGGGACATGTCACAAAATATGATGGATTGCTGAGGAGGGAGGAGGAGGAGGCAAGCCTGCATAGCCGCAGCGTAAAAACGACGCCCGTGGGGGGAGATGTCCCCCCGTCAATGGACGAAGATGACGTCTTAATGTGAGATACAAGTTGAGATTCCTAGCACCTTGAAGCATTGAAGACGACACAATGAATGTGGGTTGAAATAGAAATCCTAGCACCATATGGCGCCCGCCCGCCCCGGAACAGCCACGACACCATCCTGTGACGCCGCAGCTTTAAAGCGCACAAGAGTTGAACAGCGTTTAATTGAAACGCAGCCGCGCAAGATATATCACACGACAGACCCCAAACTTCCGAGCTGAGAGCTTGACTCCATTCAAAATCTTGATCCCTCGCCACGCTAGCATCCTCCGTAGTCCGCATGTAGAATCCCACACCACGAGATACATTCCAGCCGCGAATGGCGATCTCCGTGGCGGCAGGGATATATATCCCTAGACTGCTTTTACGAGTCGCGTGTCAAAGGCCATTTGCGTAGTGGGAAAACCAAAGGCATCAACCTCGATCCAAACAGATATTTCATGCGGTCTTCTTTACACCTCTTTTTATTTTCACCGAGTTGGTTCGCCATGGCCCATGGTGCCCGTCTATTCTATTGTAATTCATACGTAATATCCCGGAACCGACATTTGGACAAGAAGCACCACCCAATCGTCGTCTCCCACTGCACCCATGCAGCGAGGAGGTGTGGCATGCAAGTGCAAGGCGAGCAAGGAGAGGCAAGGCAACACACCATTCCCCTTAAGCCGCAACATGCTAGACCGTGTATCACAGCACTCACCGAATGCACCGCTCCCAACCTACCAGCCGTGGGCGTCCTCGGCGCCCTGCCATCTGCTGTGCAACACAGGTTTGCCGAGGTGAATGAAACGTGTCACTTCCTACCTTGGCACCAGCATGTACGCCCATGTAATGCGCATGTATGATGTATGTACAACAGGTTGCTCGCGAGGTCTCCAACGCCCTGCTGGACACCCACGTGGAGGGCAGGCAGAGATATCTGACCCCTACTGAATTCACTTTATTTTCGGTGCTGCAAGCGGCTTCCGCTCCGGACTGCGCTTCCGGTCCATGGGGGCAGGCACCACAGACCAGGACCGTGTTGGCCGGCGGCGCATTCTGTATAACGGCGGTCAAGATGGTCTTTCCCTCGGTAATTGCCACGAGTTGGGAGAAAACAAGAAAAGCCACTGCACGGCACAGACATTTAAACGCCAGAGTTGTGGGTGGGCGCCAAATAACCCCAAACTGGCACAGAGAGAGAGAGAGAGAGAGGAGGGGGGTCACAGACATGACGGCACACGATGGCCAGGTGTTCAAGCTTAAACGATAAACTTTTTTTTTTCCTTTGACAGGACCGCTTTTCCCCAGCCCGTCTCCAAGCCCGCCTTCAAATGTTCAGACTCGAACCAAGTCCGTCTGGGTGTGGTCGCCTGGGCTGAGGCTTGGGAGGCAGCCGGCTGCGGACAAGGATAGAGAAAAGGGTTGTCAATTAGTACTCCGTAAATTGCGCTCGAAGCTGTGTAGCCCCCACCCTCCATCTTGGTGCTCTACTCGGTACATATTGTTTAGTTGTCGGAGCCTGGGACGGGAACAAGCTCATCTGTGGGCAAAGGAGAAAAAGCACGAGTTACGTACGGATCTACCGAGTACCCATTTTTGTTATTGCAGCCAGGGCAGGGCAGGGTTGGCATGTTAACGCGCTGGGCAAAGCCGGGGGGCCCTGGTTGCACAGCCGAACCGGTCATTCGGACGGATTCCGTTTCTCTGAGATGCGACGGGGGGGAAGGAAGAGGCAAGAAGCGAAGAGAAGTTGGTGCTTTTTGTTGATGGTGATGAACTACACAGCCTCCTACGTGGTTACTTTTTCCATCCGAGTTCGGGATAGGAAATGGTCCCGGGTGTTTCTGGAGAGCCGGGAGATGACGATATCATATCGCTGGCCAAATAAAGGCAACTCACAAAGGTCGTCGATGCTGCGTACTGTATCATTGATGGCTAAATCGGCAGGTCGATAAGCCCTATGTACACGGCGTTGCTTCCCGTTGCACAGGCATTGAGCATGCTGGGGGGCGTTTCCGCGGGCAGACGTGGATGGGGGCGTGCGCGGGGTTTTGCTCAATGGCATGGGACCAGACGGGATAGCGGTATCATGGACAATGGTATTCGAAGATATTAATTATTACACTTGAGAAGCGGCAGCATGATTTGTGGAGAGATGATGGTCCCTTGTGCCGGCTCGTCATGCGGGTTGAATGGACGATCCGAACCGCCAAGACTCTCCCATCGTCCATATGCTAAGCATACTTGCGCACAATACCGGATTAATGCCTTGTGATAATGGCCTCTTTCTTTTCGTTGGATTCCCGCGTTCCGAAAGATGCGGAGGCGCTGCCTTGGCATAAGGCCATTTTTGATCCCGCCGAGGTTGTATTGGCAACGAATTCGCGAGTCTCCCGTGACGGCTAACCTTTGCATGCGGAAGCAGCCAACATGTATGTACGGAGTATGTTCGAGGAACAAGCGGTTTGCATGATAACGGGGTGGACGTCTTTTTTTGCTTGCTGTAGATTTGTTTCTTGGCTCAGTCATGCCGCATTTACATTGTGAATGACTGATCGCGCTGTGTCCCTGCCTTGAGCGGTCAAGGATCGGATATACGACCTGCAAGTCCGCAAACTGCGAGCTACCTATCCCGAGAAGACGGTGTCATAGGTGTCTAAACCTTCTGATTTTTGGTCCGTGGCGGAAAGCTGATCTTGGGAGGCGGCCGCGGCCCCCACGATGTTGTTGTGCAAAGCAGCGTCTGGGCTTGACGCGTCCGTCACAAGTGGTGATTGAGTCAATCATTATTGACGGCGGCTGGCCCGTAATGGTATGAGCATGGGATGAGTATGTATGATGCCGGTATGCTTAAAACCAAAGGGGCATGGCTGATGAACTGGTCGCGCTGGGCGTGTTAGGACGCAAGACGTTCCGGATTCGATCATGTCTTTTGGCTGCGCCAAGGCCCGGCGCACCACCATCGGCGGAGCCTCCCACCACCTCCATCTGCGATGCGGTGGGCTGGTGTTGTGGCATTGCTTGGCTGGGAGACGGAGCTGTGGGAGATGTGGGAGATGTGGGAGGTGTGACGCCTGATCATCTTGGCGGCGAGGAGATGGTCGATTGCTGAACATGCATGCAGCACAGTCGAGGTGGGAAATGACACCACGGGGAAGAGAGTTTTGCATGTATCACCCCGGGAAAAAAGCGATGCTGGGGACCTTGAGATGTTGGAATACGGTGTGCGGTGTAGGCGGTGGTTTTTGTGTTGCAAGTGTCAACACCTCAACTCCGCAGTCTCATGTACGGCCGGGCAGGCCCACGCCACAGATGCATGTGGCTAAACAGACTCAAGCCTGGCTGAGAGTGACCTGGCGCCTCGCCCCGACATGGGAAGTCGTGGCATTATGCAGACACATCAACGCACATGTGGCAGGCATTTGGGGGCAATCCCACTCCGTAGCACGCCGTAGGAGATGGATAGTATGTAGTAATTTTTACTCTTCATCGTGCTCGGCCTGTTGGGTGCCATTGTAGTTAAGCACTTGGTGTACCCAGCACGGGACATGGAGCGATTCCCCGACGCTCATTAGCCCGTCGGCCAACACGAGTTGGTATATATGCTGTACCACACAACACATATGTTTCGCAAGTAACTTGATATACGGGGTACGGAGTATAACATTAAAACAGAAAACGACAAGGCAGGCATTTCCGGCAACTGCGTTTTTGACGGCAAATCCAACGGCTACTCTCCTGATTTGCCATAGAAACATGCGAGCATTTGTCTTTGACCCATCACCATCGCGGTCTCTCACACCAAAGGCCTGACCAAAAAAAGGGAACCGTCCATCACATCACACCGTCGAGGCGCATAAACAGGACATCGTCGTACCATCCATACCATCATACCACGTCCGGCCGATTTGTCATGCATTGCCGTCCGCCATCTTGTTGAGATCTGATCTGCCTGCGAGCGGAGCTGTGAAACTTGCAGCACTTCTGTCCAAGCTTCTTCGTGGCCACGGACGGCGGACTCGATTCGTTGGACTTGACCTCCTTTTTTTTCCCTTTACGCACCGGCTGCCAAAATTTAGCTTGCGCCACGTCCGGACGCCAGGGTTGCCCCGTTTGCCAGCTACTGATTCCATATCCTAAACTATCTTAAATTTTTTTTACCACGTACGGGGCCATCAGGTGATGAATACGACTCTGTGTAGTCATTGACCTGTTGACTTGACCAGAGGTGCAGCAAGGCAAGACATTGGCCGGGGTGCCTCGCCATTTTGGCACACCAGACTCTCACAAACTCACAGCCACCTTTTTATCCGAGACTTGTTTATGTTTTATTTTTATTTTCTGTTTCTTTTTTCATTATTTTTTTGAAAAATTATCTCGGTCTTGAACCTCGTCTCCGGGACACCAAGAGCCAGGGGACCAAGTCCTGGTCATTTACCAGATCCTTGCTCTCGTTGCCCAAGGACAGGGTGACGTCTGCCTTACGACGCTAAGCCGGGAGCTCCTCTACCAGGGAACACAAGGTTGCGCCAGAACACTGCCCCTCAAGGAAGCAAAACGAAAAGGGAGAGAAGGGGGCAAAAAAAAAAAAAGAAAAAAAAATTTAACAAATAGGTGTCAGATCACTGGGAACCAGGATCAAGGGTGTGTTGCTGCCAGAGGTCCCCCTTTCCCACGTGCGTGGGCGGCAAATTCTTACAAAGAACAAAGCGCCCGCCCTTCGCCCGCCCCTAAACTTGATTCTGGTCTGGTGTTTTTGCCCATCAAATTGCCTGCTCATGTGGAGAGCTCAAGAGCTCCATCGTCAATCGTCCCTTTTGCTTAAACGACATCCCGGCAATTGCGCTTCGGCCGCACGACTTACGGGACGAGAAAAGAAGGGTAAGAAAAGAGGAAAAAAAAAAAAAAAATCAAACAGGCACTACTATTGTACACGTTTGGCACTGACGGTTGTTAGGTTGGCGCTCATTGACTCTCGACTCTGTGACTGGTACTCGTCCGTCTGACCGTTGCGCGGCCCTAGCTTGAGGATCCCCGGCACCAAAGCGTACAGCTGTTGGACCTCAGACCGGGGTCTTCTGTTCAATTCCTCTTTTTCTCCCGTTTGTTGTCGGCGGTATTGCTTGCCTATTGTCCTGGGATTTCTTTTTTGTGCCAGCCACTTGTTTTATTTGTATTTTTTTTTTTAAACTCTCCAGATCCCTCTTGTTAACCTTGTTCCCCGTGCTTGCGTTGCAGATCTGGGGTTCAAAGCACCATTCCACGAGCCGCATTCCGCAGCTTCCCAGCAAACCACGAGAAACCGTCCTGCGCATCCTTTCCGACTACAGATGGAAAATCTCGCCATCGCATCATCCTGCTGTCTCGGTTGCTAATACATAATCCCTCGTCCTGGTATAGCGCCGATACTACTCCGCGAAAAGTACTCGGTACCTTTGCGGCACGAAACTGCCTGCACCTTCCCGACTGTGTCTCTCGTGTTCGACTTCTCGGCACATCTGTGCCGGAAGCTGCCCAGAGTTGCCCAGAGTTGGTCTCGCTGCAGACTTGTTGTCTTAGATTGCGGACCACAACATTGAAGCCCAGCGTCCGTGAGCCCTTGGGGGGAATCTTTTTATCTGGGAGAAGAATAGTATTCGAGACAAGACAAAGCGTCGAATTTGGTCATTGACATTGAATATTTCAGATTCGACCGACGCCTGCGAGGTGGTCTCTCCGTTGGACCACTTTCTTGGTGACAATATTTTTTTTGTTACTCTCCCTCGTCGTCTCTCCGCCTAAACATCCCTTTTTTTAGTCTCGTCGTCTTCCTCTCGCCACAAATGCTCACCTTTGCCGGCCGCCCCAAGTCATCAGTCTTTGGCAGCCATCGTACAGATACCAGTCCGCATATGGATGGTGAAGGAGGTGGAGGAGGAGGCGGAAAAGGAGGAGGAACATCGTCCCGATTCAAGCGGCTCTCGTTCATGATGCATTCGCCGCGTCTTGCTCATAGCTCCGACTCAGATTTGTTGCCCATGTCTTCTGTGCCGCCAAAGGGTGTCCAACCTGATGCCAAGCTGGCTACCAAGACGACCAAGACGGTTGCCAAGATCAACACCGAGATGGACACGACCAAGCCTGTCGATGCGAAATTCGACACCACGCTTGATGCTTCGGCTTCCTACTTTTCCCCGCCATCTAAACTCGAAACGAAGCAAGGGTCCAGTGAAGATGTTTTGCCGGCTGACGCGAGGAAAGCCTCAATATCGTTCCCGGACGAGTTGCCGAAGCCCGATCATTCGCCTTCAGATCGAACGCCCACCGATGCGCTTTCAGAGAGCTCCTTTGGGCGGAAATCGTCTGTTTCATCCGTTTCATTCCGACGCTCGAGGAACCCGTCCGTCGCACCTAGCACTTCTAAGCAAACTGCTCATGGCTTGCGCATTCGAAATGCGTCTCCGCCGCCTCAACGGTAAGAGGCCACATCTCCTTGTCCAAATTCCACACATGTCATCTACCCTTTCCACTCATTGTCTGCTGCCCACGTACACACTTGCATGCCGAAAGACCAGAGCACGAGACCGTGTTTGTCCAGCGTCAGGTTGTAAAGTGACCAAAGCAGCCGGTTTCCGTCATGCCGAAATGGGGTCGTCGGTTTTTATACCCCAAAATTGACCCCTGCGCTACACCTTGCTCAACGCTCAGCTCTAATGCTGTGCACACCAACTCGGCATTTCTACCCGGACTCGACATGATGGATGCGTTGGGTGCAATGCCGTCTTTGCCGCAACCACCGCTTGCCCGCCTGTATCCAACAAGATTCAAACCCGGGGCTTGTGAAGCTGTGTCTACGTCAACCATGGCCCACATGTCGACGAACGGTGGAGTGGAACCGCTCCCAAGCTGCTGGTTAGCATTGAAGCATAGCGGCGGATCCCGCAAGCCAAACGAATACCTTAGATCTAGTCATTGAGATCTCGCTGGCTGAACGCACCATCATGTCGGCCATCCGGATGGGTCTGGCTAGGCCTCCTGCCTGCTTCCTACAGTACATGGCTGGGGGCTGGTAGTGCGGTCGATGGCAGCGACCGCGACGTTGCTCGGCATGCTGCACGTATGCGCAGTGACAGACAGGTTGGCAGCTCATTCATCCAGTACGCCTGGCCGCATCCGCATAGCAAAGCAACCCGGACTTGTTAGTGAGCACTGCACATTGCAGACTCTCGGCTGCGCCCGGGCTGGCCGCGAGCGTCGTTTGAAGGCATCAAGGGGATCCACTTGGACCAGCCTTCTACTCCGTACCACTCTGGCCATTTGCCCACAAGTCTCCATCCACATCGACCCCTCTACCCTACCCCGCTGTCAACCAGCAATAGCCTTGCTGAGCCGTCACGACCAAGCCAGGCATGGCGCACGAGGCATTGCTCTGTGTCGCCGCCATACACACCACACACGCACACACACAGAGACGCGGGGGCTGGACCCTCTTGGGCAAGGCAGCGGGGGAGCACCATAGTGAGGGTAGCACCCACCAGTCACTGGACTAAGGATCCTTCAAAGTGTCAAGGTCTGGTCTGGTTTGGTGCCACCGCAGCCCAACCGGGCTCCAGCTATATGTCGAGACTAGCTCGAAGCTACTGTGGCCGCCACGACAGTGGTGGAGTCATGGTTTCGAATCTCGTCTGTTCTCGTCTACCCACATGCTCACTGCCCAAGTCTGAGCCTCCCATCCAGGCGCTGTTACTCTTCTTTCTTCACATCTTTCCTGTCTGTCGCACCTCTGCCATTCTTTCTTTCTTCAATCGCTTCCTCAATTACATGTTTGCCCAAAGCTACGGCTTCAAGGCTGTAACCAATTCGCACAATGGCGACGCTAACCGAGACGAAAAACGATAGGTTTCAGCACCACGTTGGTTTCGACAATGTCCCCAGCGGCGAGGCTACTAAGAACAACACCCTCTCGTTGACCCTCAACGTTCGGCACAAGGGATATCAGGCTCGACGCAGATCGCGTAGCTTCATGGTTGGCGTCGACGAGCACTCATACTCTGACTATGCCATTCAGTGGCTGCTAGATGAGCTAGTCGATGACGGCGACGAAATTGTTTGTGTCCGAGTCATCGAGAAGGAAATCCGCTACAATGATAAGCAATATCAAGAGGACGCAGCAAACGTCATGCAGGGCATTCTGGCCAAGAACGGTGCCAACCGCGCCATTAGTTTTGTGCTCGAGTATGCGGTGGGAAAGTTGCATGCGACCTTCCAAAAGCTGGTTCGTACACCCCTTCGGCCTACTAACAGACGTTGCATTTTGTGAGAGAGCGAGAGAGGGATGAGACGCTGACCACTGTCCCCTTGCAGATCCAGATGTACCAGCCTGCCATGCTCATTGTTGGCACTAGAGGTCGCTCACTGGGCGGTATCCAAGGACTAGTTAATTCTCGCAATTCCTTCTCCAAGTACTGCCTACAATACTCGCCCGTCCCCGTTGTTGTTGTTCGACCGACAGAGAAGCGCATAAAAAAGAAGGTCAAGCGTGCCAACGACACAACTCGCCAGACATATCTGGGAATGCTTGCCGCTAGCCATGGTCTCCACGAAGCCGATAGCGAAACGAGCAGCACCTATGAACTCGAGCCACAAGCCTCCCCAGACGAAGAGGCGCACCAAGTCGCGAAGGCTTTGGGGTTGCCTGCTGCCTTTGACCCTACTATTAAACCGCTGCGAGACAGTCTACTTCCGAGGTCTCGACCCTCGAGCCCCCCTCCCGCCGTGAACGGGACCCCAGAGCGGCCACCAATTGATCGGTCGCCAGGCAGCGGCGGCGGCGACACAGAAGAAGAAGAAGAGGAGGAGGAGGAGGAATTTGATGTTGTCGACGGAATGGATGTCCTCAACCAGCAACAGAAGTTGGAACAACTGCACAAGATGGAAGTCGGAGAAGCCGCAGCCCTTAGAAAGGGCGTGGACAATGAAGAAGAAGAGGAGTCGGATGAAGCCCAAGAACTCAAAGAGGCGTCGTAGAAACGGCGTCTTGGTGACGAGTTGGACTCTGACGACATTGGTTACACCAGTGTCGGCTTTGACGGAGCTTCTGATGACGGGTCACCTAGACGTCATTATCCAATGGATTGGCGATGCGGAACGCTTGTACATGGACGATGGTGCCATGACGTTGCTGCAAACGTCCCCGCAGCATCAAAGCAGATTGCGCAGGAATCGCACAGGTTGGTGCAGAAAAGCGGGCGGCTGGCCACCCCAGTTTCTGCCTCTAAAGAAGCAACGGAGAAAGACGTGAATCCTGGCGACGATTTTGACATGGAGGCAAACTCTTTTCTCGATCTGGAAATAAATGTCGTTGTCCTGCCTGATGAGCCGGACTTGAGTTCCCTGATGCCGCCCCGCAGCCCGGAAACGTCCTATCCAATGCCCATGGACGACTTTGCACAACTCGCGCGGCGTCACTCGGCGCCTGGTCGTCTAGGACCAGACGATGCGCCTTCTGCTTCCAAGAGCAAAGAGGGTCCTGTTGAAGCTAGGTTACGACGAAACAGGTTGTTTTTGGCCTGGCTAGGCAGAGGATATCGAGAAGCTGCCAAGGCAGCGGAAGGCAGACAACAGCCACAAGAGCTTTTGGACGAGAATATCATTACTAGGGATTTCGCAACACGAGCGCGTTGTGAGAGATGTGAGAGTGGCACGACGGAAGTGGAAGTCTCTACAAGCGAGGTTGGGCAAGCAGAACACATCTCGTTTGTGGACAGGGCCGACGAGTCTGTGTTGCCCAGGCAAGAGGGTCAGGGTGCGGCACACGAGGAGAAACACTCTGCCCGGTAGAAGCGACGGCGTGAGATGGTGTCTCGATTTTGGAAGTGGTATTGCTGTTGGAGGGAATAGGATGGCATAGCGGTGCGTAATTATTGTAGATGCAGATAGTATTGCAGCAAAGCGATTGAGCAGTCTTGGGCGCATTTGATTTCTTTGTCGGTGTGGCACCAGGTCAGTGCTCTATTCATGCCACTGCTGTCGTTTTTCATGCAAGGATCTTGGTACATCGTTGCGTTTCGTCTCGTGTGCCCATTTCACAGGGGAGGAGACAGACGGTTCTCCAAGGACCGCCCGGCGTCTTTGTTGCCAGACCGTCTCAGGCAGGTTGAAGAATAACGACGACCAGCCTTACCCCGCTTGCTATAAATCGTCATGCGCGCTGCGACCTGGTCTTTTATTTATTTTGTTATTTTTTTTAACGATTCCCTCCTTTTTTTTTTACATGTATCATTGAGTTTCCGCGTAATTGAAAATCGTCAATCCGGAGTTTTCAGCGACTTGTGAGTTTATTTACCACGAAGTTGCTGGTGTTGAGTGCTACGGCGGCGGGGGCGGGCAAGACGGGGGG